GCTACTGTTTTAGGAAGAGGTGCTAGAGAAAGCAAGAGGGCGGTTTGGCAGAGCTGGCACAGGGAACACCCTCGGAGCTCAGCGGGGCCTCCTCTGCAGAAATCACCACTTTGAAGTTGAGACATACTTGGTCTTGTAAGTAGTCTACTAGTCTAGAACTTAACTAAATACACTCTACATTGCTTTTAATTTCAGGTTTTCTAACTGTTTTAGGAAGAGGTGCTAGAGAAAGCAAGAGGGCGGTTTGGCAGAGCTGGCACAGGGAACACCCTCGGAGCTCAGCGGGGCCTCCTCTGCAGAAATCACCACTTTGAAGTTGAGACATACTTGGTCTTGTAAGTAGTCTACTAGTCTAGAACTTAACTAAATACACTCTACATTGCTTTTAATTTCAGGTTTTCTAAAGCTGGGTGGGAGGATCAGTATGAGAGTATCAGTGGATGGCCCTGGGGTAGCCCGTTGTCTGCTCCTGCTCTGGAGGCAAACGGGTGATCACAGCAGCAGGTTGTTGTGAAGTTCACATGTGCCTTTGCTGCTGCCAGCTTTCACGTGCAGTCAGGGCTTCAGTTGGTTTGAGTATTTCAGGTGGCCAACAGAATATCCACCTTGGGATAGTAACAAAAGTTTACCTTGACAGCTGGCAGAAGTTTCGTTTCACAAAGCCAGACTTAATTCTATTTTCTACTGCTGCATGGATAGAGGGGTGAAATCCAGCTCTGTGTAATGGAAGTGAAGTAAAATACCCCAAATGTACCACGTAAAAGTGTTAGGGAGTCAGCTTCTTACCAGAACTTATAAATTAAAAATACAGATCTCACCATTTTATTAAGACAGTCACTGACAGTTTGTAAAAAAAATTTCTAACATACACAAAACCCTCAGCCCAGCAACAGTGAGGAATTGAAACAGCACCCCCTCCCCCCACCCACACACTGCAGTACAAACTTCAGTTTGTTTGATTTAAATTGGCTTAATCTTGAAGTGTAGTCCAATGAGACTGAAGACTAGACACTTAAGGTCCTGGACCAGGTAGTAGAACACTCTCAAGCCTTCTGGATCCCTGCAATGCCCAACAGCAGGAAGGGGAAAAAAAGTTGGATCAATATTTTAAAAGAGCAGCTTACAGAACTAACTTACTGAAAGAAAACCCGAAGCCTATAGGGAGATTTTTCAGAGGTCATCTTAGACATAAATGGATTTGTTTCATCCTGCATGGATTGGTAAAATATTCTGCAGTCCAAGCTGGCAAGTTGTAAGTCTTGACAAAATGTGCATTTTTATCATAAAGTTAACATCACTCTAGATTTATAAAACACCACACCCAGTCTTTCAGCTTAGGTGGAATACAGAAGCCTTGTCTCTGTGTGGACAGGCCAAAGAGAGTTTAGTTCAGACTGTGAATACACCTAACAGGTGTTCCTACAATAAGGTTAACTGCTTGATGAGTTTGAGAATATAGTGTGTGATGACACAGCCTAAAAGCTTTTGGTACATTCCACTGGAACACAGAGCAATTGTGCCCTCGGGAACTGATTTATCCTTTGAAACAATATAAAATATCTAACAATCATTAAGTTCTAATACAGATTGTTACATAAACCCAGCAGCAACGTTAAAAAGGAAGGTACGTACTTGGATTGATTTACATCAATGAGTGAACCGATTTTTGACGTGGTAAAGGAGATGTGCTCATCACCGATTACTATTTCAAGCTCCTGAAAAATAACAAGATTATAGGACATCAAACTACTGCTCTAAGGTTTTAGTTACAGAAATACTTCAGTACTGAGGTGATGGCTATTCCATCTGCATTACAAAGGTACTGAAGGCAGCAGTGAATCTCATCAACTCTCACAACTGCATCGCCATTTAGGCACTGCACTGGTTGTTAAATAGCACTTGTTTCCCTCTTAGCCAGAAACAATGCTGACTTGAAGAAACAGCTCAGTTATGTTCCTAACGAGCTAACATAAAAATTGAAGCAGCAGTTAGAGGAGACGCTGTACACTGACCTGTCGACCAACTCTGTCTGGAGGAGGCCACAGAGCATCATCTTCTTTTGTGATTTCACTGTCGTCGATTATCCTCTTCAGCTCCTCCATCACGCTCTTGTGCACGTAAGCCTACAAGCGACACTCCAGC